TAATAATATGTATTATTATTGTTGTAAACAGAAATTCATCAAAAGTGACACCTCAGAAAAGCTAAAATATTGAATTTTTGGAACTTTTGATAGAGCACGTTTTTAAATATTAATTAAAGTAAATGTATATTTTGTAAAGATTCTTTTTAATAAAAAAATAAAATTTTGAAGAAGAACACAAAATCTTCTGAAAAATAATATCACATAAACTCATATTATTTTCTAATATATAACTATTTTATATAAAAATCAAATTCAATGATCTTAAAAGCGAAGGATAAACCTCAAAATTTACGAATATAATGAGTGGGAATATAATGCTTATCTATCATAAAACCATATGAAATATCAATTTTTGCTTTACGCCTAATTTTTGACGACAATTAGCAAAAAATGTTAAATGTTAACACTCAGTCCATTTGAATATGAAAAATAAAATTGACTTTGATTAAATGTTTTTATTTATCATGCAATTCTTCTTGCGACCAAAGATTTGAATAAAAGTTCAAAAAATAAGATAGCTTAAAAAATAATATACGGTAGTGTTTACTAATAGATGAATAGTATATAAATTCTATTAAAATTGATTTGATCCAAAAAAATATAAAACCAAAAATAATTGTTATAATTTAAATGAAGAAGTAATTTAAAACGATTTTATTTATGATCAAATTTTATATATTTTTTTGGATCAAATCCATTTTAATAGAATTTATATACTATTCATCTATTAGTAAACACTACCGTATATTATTTTTTAAGCTATCTTATTTTTTGAACTTTTATTCAAATCTTTGGTCGCAAGAAGAATTGCATGATAAATAAAAACATTTAATCAAAGTCAATTTTATTTTTCATATTCAAATGGACTGAGTGTTAACATTTAACATTTTTTGCTAATTGTCGTCAAAAATTAGGCGTAAAGCAAAAATTGATATTTCATATGGTTTTATGATAGATAAGCATTATATTCCCACTCATTATATTCGTAAATTTTGAGGTTTATCCTTCGCTTTTAAGATCATTGAATTTGATTTTTATATAAAATAGTTATATATTAGAAAATAATATGAGTTTATGTGATATTATTTTTCAGAAGATTTCATTCTATATGCCTATGAAAAGTACTCTCAAAACTAACTTTTTCCTAATTATAATTAAATCTAGAATATTGTATTATGCTTAGTATTATTTCATTTTTCTCATTCAATTTAGAATTTACAAATGTCAAAAAATTGAGAGCCGTCACTTTTGATGAATTTCTGTTTATTACATAATAAAAAAGAAAAAATAAAGCACGTTAAAATTTTTCTTTCTTGATTTTTTACAAAATCTACTTAGAATTATGCAAAATATGACTAAATAATTATAAATTTCAAGTTAAATTTTAATTTTGATAAATAATTTAAATTTCAAAATATCAAGTTCAGTTCGACTATGTATGTAGTAATTCCTCAATAAAGTGCCAAAACCCTATTAAAATATATGAACATTTTCAACATTTTAATGTTTTTATTTAAAAATTTGATGGAATATGAGCTTCAAACAATTATTATGTAAATAAAAATAATTAAATATATGGATTTATTCGTATTACAACCGTAGTAAGTCGATTCTTCCTTTCTTCTACTGAGTTTTGAATTTGATTTCGAATTGTAAAGAGATTCAAAGGGAAAATACTAGCGGATAAAAACTACCTCCATGAAAGGGTCATAATGGACTCAAGTTGTATTTTTTGATATTTTTTGCTTTTCGAGCCTAAATAGGTAGCCAAGATAATGCCTAAAAATAAAGTTCTAAATTCTGAAGTTTACATGATCCTCTCGTGTGCACCCTTAATCAAAAATCGAAAGTTGATGAAAATAAGAAAAATTGCTTTATTAGTAATTAACAATATACTTTAATAAGGAATTAATGAAATTCTAAATATAGCCGTTTAATATTTTTATTGCTGTTTAAAATTATTCTTTTTTCATCTGTGTCGAGGTCTGCGGTTGAGTACCACCAGTACCATTATCACTGACTCTCAATTACTTTTTTAGCAATGACGGTTCAGCTGATCACGAAGAATTGTTGGTTTCCTTCGCTCATTTACGAAGTTTGTCACTCCTTTTCGTTCCAGTTTTCCATTCCTGATGCATATGCATCCAAGGTTTATGAATGAGCCAGAGTTGTCAACTCATGCATCTCTGATCGTTCATACAAATGAAAAATTTTCTTTGGTTAATAACTTCAAGGAGTACTTGGACTAGGTATCAAATTATACCTTCATAAGAACAATAATTAAAATCATTAAATTGTTTTCCATCTTAAAATGGATTTGTAAATGAATAAAAATTGAATAAATAAAGATTGATTCTTATTTATATTTGATAATTAGATTCTTACTATGGAATTAAGTTTATGAAAGTTTATAATGTCACTTTTTAAAAAGTCAAGTTTAAGGTTTAAATTTTATTTATAAAATCGATTTGATTCGACATATTGGAACGGATTTTTTTGGTCATTTCTTTTGGAAATTAATAAATTATAACTTATACTATTACGTCATAAAATTTGTTCAAATTTTTATAATGCTTAAGGTAATGAAATTATTGTTCAAAAATAGTCCAGCTCTATCGTCAAAAAATCTCTCAATTTTTTTAAAAAATAACAATTTCAAAAAAAATTCCTCAATATATCTTTCACAGCTTGGCATACTGAAAGTATCGATAGAAACTATATAATTTTCCTAACAAAGTGACAGAGCGGAACTAAACGTTTTTATTTGTGTATTTAGATATCATTCAATTTTTTGAATAAGCTTTTGAAAAATTGAATATTTACTTATCAAAAACCGTTTTGACAGACAATCTCAACTATAATATAATAATTAATATTAAATTACATTCATATCAGATTTTACTTTTCTTATCTATTCACCTCATATAGAATTTCATGCTTTGAAAAATGCGTTTTTATGGAGGTATTGCGAATCTAATTCTTCATTACTCATATATATAAAATTAAATTAAGATGTAAAAATAAACATCACTAGCATGCTAACAAAGTGACAGAGCGGAACTAAAAGTCTTTTCTTCTTTATCAAAATATGTCAATTTTTTTCAGGTGGTAATTTTATATACTTTGAAAAAAATCGAAAAAAGCTAATTTGAACCAACGTTTTCTTGTTGCTCACTCAAATATCGTATGCATTGTACAATTTAAAATTAACAGCAAATTGATTTTTGAAATATCCTCCCAAACGAGTAATTTTCAAACAATGGAAAAACATAAATATCAAATTTATTCCTTTCTCCAGGAATCAAAATCTAGTTTCGATGAAATCAAAAATAAAAAGAGAATGATGGAGAATTTTGTGCCATTGAAGACCAGTTTATTATTTTTGAATCCGCTTATCTTAAGTATCTTATTTCCTGAAAAAAATTGATAACTCTTTTCGAAATCAAATGGGCTCTTCTAAATTACACATTATAATACCAATGTCCCTTTCAGGTTAATTGCAGTTTTTAATCTCAGGCACTATCAATCGGATTGTTTGGCCATTTACAAATCAGATAATTCAGACAATATCAATGAAATCCATGATATCTCAATAATATATATTTTTAGTAATCGTGGTGTTCTTGAATAAACTATATTATCTCAAACTATAATATTGTCTAATTCGATATAAAAATGTATATATATTTATTCCTCATAGGCTACTCATTATGAATGTATGCAATTATGTGGAACAGGAACTTTAAGTGTAGCATTTCAAATACCACATTTTGCATTGATGTCCACATTTGTCATACTTGAAAGTCCTAAAAAGAAAATAATTCATTTTTTTAAGACAAATGTTGTAAGAGACTTTCCGTAGCATTGATGATGAATAAGAACAGTGCATTTGATTTTATTTCTTTTTGGGATATGAATAAAGAATCTGCCGCCTGGACAGAGTCCAGTAGAGAAAATATGAGGTTCAATTAAAAAATTTTGACTTTCATAAATTCTGACATTATGACTTGGATCATACAATTTTTCTTTAGCATCAAAATATGAATTAGATACTGTAATTGAACCTGATCCATAAATTCCAAACAAATATTGATCATTTTGTTTGTTATTAGCAAAGAAACATTTGTCAAAAGTAACAACAGAACCAGAACAAAAAATCATTGCAGGTATTCCACTAGGCTCATAAACTATGTTATTTATGAAAACAATACTATCAAATTTTGTTGGTTTGTTTCCTATATAAAAAATTCTGCAGTCTGCATAGTTTTCTTCAATAATCGAATATTTTATTAAATAAGTTTCTTTTCCTTCTCCTATTAAAGCTGTATTATATTAACAATAGTTTCTTGTGATATTATTGTGTAAAAATGAAATATTTCCTTTTTGTAAATGAAGAGTTTGAAATCCATCACGAATTCCTTGATTGCTATATGATACTGATGAATCATGAAGTTCATTGACGTTTGTAGAACCATCCAATGCAGTTACAAAACTTTCCGTTATTTGCTGCTTTCGATCCGAAACTGCAAACTTTTCGAATCGAACTTTGGCCATTAATGATGTAAATAGATCCACCATACCCTTTGTTATATGAGTTTTCAAATGTATTTGTAGAAATAAGTGACTTAATATCTGTTGAAGTGAGAGTAATAACTCCTTGATCACCAAGATTGGAAAAATAAACTTCACAAACATAAAAGTCGCCTGTTTGACCCGAATATATTTGGTTTTGATGGTAGACTTGTTTACTATATGCCGATTTGTAGACTTCTTCCCATTCATCACTGGAGAAATGGAGCGTAATTGAGTTTTCTGAGATACCTTTATTTGGATACTACTCAATTGATGAAGAAAAAATTGGGATGATGAAAAGATGCTCTGAAAGAAACCAAAAATATAAATTTAAAAGTCCATGGTAATGTGAAATGTACGATTATGGTATTATTTACCAATTTCATGTAAGTGCGTTTTGAATTTTTTTTTCTTCATTCAATCCGATGAGCCAAGAACAGACAGAATCTTTGGCTCAAGAAGTTGTCGAAGATGCTTGTGCTGAGTTAGAAACAGTTTCTAAACAAGATCGCAACATCTTTCTTAACAGAGAACGAAAGCGTGACGATAATCTTGTTTCACAAATCTCCGACATCCAAGAAGAGATTAGTTTTGTTGATAAACAGATCGAAGATATCGTTGACAAATTACAAACAGTTAACCAAGGCATCCAAGAAATCCAAGAGTTTCGAGAAATACAACAACTCAACCAAATCGACATGAGCAGTCTTACATTAAACGTTGACTTCGAAATTGAGCAGAGTTCTACACTTAAACAGACACTTCAAAGCCTTCAAGACGAAATTTCATCAGCTAAGAAACTTTATTCGGATTCTACTCAACAAATCAAGTTTGTTGAAGAAGAACATTCTAAAGTTCGCAACCACAAAACACAATTATTCCAAAAACTCGATGAATTGAAACGTGAACAAGCCGAGCTTACTCTTAAGGAAGAAACACTCGAAGACATGTCAGCATTAGATCGCAAAATCACGAGCCTTCAAGGTAACATCGATAACATTCAAATTCGAAATTCAAAAATTATGGATACGATTTCCTACAAGAAACAACTTCTTCAAAAGCTCCAAAACGATCTATGCAAATTACAATCCGATTCCCATCAATCAGAAGAAGATATTTCGCAATATCAAGAAGAATACGATCAAATCAACAATTCATACCTTACAATCAACAAATGCTACAAGAATCGTGAAGCACAGCGTACATCCATCAAATCTAAGATTGAAGCCCAAAACTTACCCGTTGAAAGTTCCGAAGAAGAAAGTATTTCCATTGAATACGATTCCGGCAAGTACGAAACACGCCTTGACATTGTTAGTACAGACACAGACATTTCGCGTCTTAAGTCTGAACTCAGTCAACGCATTTCTAAGCGATATTTAGAGAACGAAAGCCAAAAAACGAAGAAAAACAAAGAAACAATCAAAAAACCACGCGAATCTTACGAACAAATCATTGCATATCTCGATCAGCGATACACCGTTCTTGAGCAGGCCGCAGCATCACGTCGTGCACAACTTGAACTTGAGCACCAACAATATCTTGTTGATAGAAGTAGTAAAGAGAACGAACTCGACCAAAAATCAATTTCTCTTCGTCAAGAGTTAGTTAAAAACGATGCATACAACATTGTACAACGTGTTGAAGATAACAAGAAGAAGATTGAAGACATCAAAAACAGTAATGAACGCCGTAAAGAAAACTTGAAATCTATTCTTTCTTCACCAGGTATGGATACAAATGTTTTGGCTGCTAAAGAAATATCTATCAAGGAACAACTTGAAGCTGCTGAACAACTGAAGAAGATACAAACAGATAGAAAGTTGGTTTTGGAACGTCGTGAAGGAGAACTCGTAATTCAAGAAGAAATGTTGAACCAAGAGAAAGAACAACTTGCTCAGAAACGTAAACTAGTTGAACTCAAAACTCTTGAAAACCAAAAGATGATTGACATGTACAAGAAACTTGGAAAATAACTTATATTTTTTTTATTTTATATTTTATTATTGTAATTTAAATATCTTATTTCTCATTTAGCATTTTATATTTTATCTAATCCCAATACTACTCAATTCATTCATATTCTATCAATGAAATCTTCAATTCTCAACAAAAAAATTTATACAAATCTGCTAACATTTGATTTAGATATTATGATATAAATTACTTCTAGCAGTGAATATAAAACTTCAGTTTCATCTTCATAAATCCTCTTTCTAATAAGATTTTCATTGATTTTTTCTTGAATTTTTGAGAATTTCAAGAAATTGACGAGTTTAAAGTAGAAAATAACTGAACATGTTTTTAATATTCCAATTTTATTTGCTTTTTTTAATTGAATTTATTGAGATTTTGAAAAAATTGCCGTTTAAAAATGAGTGAAACACCGACTTTCTTTGTTCGCAACAAAAACAAGAATGTGTCTAGTGCGAAAAGATCGTCTGGTTTTACCAAAAGATGCCGAAATTCTACTTTAACACCTCAAATTCACAATTCACAGAACTATATGAATAACGAAAATGAAATTCACTCAGAAAAACGATTCACCACACCATCGATGAGAAGATTTAATTCAAATAGAGATGTATTCCTTCATATGGATGAGTTTTCTTCATACGAAGAGGAAGCATCTTTTCAATCAAGTAGTAGCAGCAATGAATTTGAATATGGCATACAAATGTTACGATCTCAGATCGCAAACGCTGATAAGAAGATACAATCTCTCCAGAAATCCAGCTCGGAAAATGATGCAGAATTTGAACGTCAATTAAGACATAAACAAATGATTTTACAACAGCTAACAGATCAGATCAGGCTTACTGAAGATGATCGTAAAACAGAAATATTTAAAGAATATAATGATCAAATAAAAGATTTAGAAGCTCAAATCAAAGCACAATCAGAAGTACTAAGTGTTCTAGATTCTTCTGAACTAAAATATAATAAATATTTAGAAGATTTCAAATACATTAATTCAATCTGCGAATCCGACACGCAAGAAGTATTTGATATTGCATCTAAGATGATCCAATTGAAAATTTCATTTCCAATTGATAAACAGAATAAGATAAATGCAGAATTGGAGAGTGAATTTAACAATTTAATTCAAGAAAAATCCATTTTTGATGCAATAATACCATCTTTAAAGAATGATAATGATTCCCTTGAAAAAGAAATAGAAGATATCAAAGAAAAGATTAATGCCATTGAAATGCAGAACCAGATAAATGAAAAGAATCAGAATATTTGGAAAAAAAGCGATTGCAGGCTGAGTGAAGATCTTTTGAGAGCCAAATCACTATTAAAGCAAGAATCAAAGGCTCGAATCCAAAAAGAAAAGAAATATTTTACTGAACAAGTTAAACAGCATGTAACTGATAATAAAACAATGAAGCTTAATGTCCAATGGAAAACTCAAGATGGAAAATTGCTTCAAGACCAAATTGAACAGTTGAATTATGAAATATCAAATTATATTGATGAATCAGATAAGAAAATTGACCGCCTGAAAGCATCTATACAGGATCTCAAGGATAGACAGATGTTTTCGGCTAAAAGCAATAGTATGCAAATTCAAACACCTCAACCTTTCAAGAAAAAGAATTCTCTTTTCAGACATCAAAGTACCCCAATATCTGTTGCCCATAACCAATAAAAATTTTGTTTGTATTTATTAAATTTAATCTATTTTTATGTGAATATAAGTACTTCTCGCTTGAAATAGATATATGAAATTAAATATCTTTGAACTCATTTGAGAAAATAGAATAACAATGTTAAATTTTGGAAATAACTTAAAAATATCATGGTTTATTTTGGTGGCTGTGCTTCAACCTTTCTCTTTCCGACATCTTCCCAGTTTGTTGAAAGAACTGTGCCGCCTGATTCTATAAAGCTCTTATACATTGCTCTCTTAGCATCATCACTGGCATTTGCGTAGATTCCTTGTAAGAATTTATCAATTCCTTGATCTTTAACCTCTTCTTCTTCTGGGAAGTCAACTTTAGACCACTTCTGGTAGAGTGGTGTTGTAGCATCAGATGAAGCCTCTGCATGTGGCCAATTTTCAACGGCTGCTTTTTCAAATGCGATTTCGATCTTCTTTGATCCATTGTCAATCTTCATTGTAGATGGCTTAATGTCCTTGAAGAAAGCCCAAGCCTTAATATGTTCTTCGCCGTCAACTTTAACTTTAATAACGATTCCTTTCTCTTCTGGGTGTGTTTCAAGGAGCTCAACCTCCTTTCCACTCTTATATATTGTTACTGCGACATTCTTTGCTGTCTGATATGAGTCGTTTCGAAGTGGAAACTCGCTCATATGTTTATAAATAACCGGACATTTAAAAACAAAGGGGGAATAACTTCATTTCACAACAAATATAACGTAACAATGATAGCTTTTCATGATGAAAAATAAAATATATAACTATTATAATACATTTTTTGAAGGCGCAAATTTGAAAATATTGAGATTTCGAAATCTGATAAAAATAAATTCACACGTTTTTTGCAAAATGAAATAATATTTATATTGTATATATAAAGCTTATTAATATTATTTTGTTAAAAGTTGGAGAAAGTCATTATTTGGCGTTTTGAGTTGTCACTTTTACGGCTTGGTCGGCCTTTTCGATGGTGAAGACAAACCCATTCCTTTCATCACAGGCTAAGAAGACAAGAAAGGCCTTCTTCAATGCCACCAAGGATGACAAGCACCGCCAACTTTCTGCTAAGCTCAACAAGGAGCAGGCTGAAACACATGGCGTTAAGCAACTCCCAATCCGCAGAGATGATGAAGTTTCCATCAACTCTGGCAAGTTCGCTGGCCGTGAGGGTAAGGTCATCGCTGTCAAGCTTTCTGAGAATCGTATCGTTGTTGATTCATTCACACGTGAAAAACTTAATGGCCAGACAGTTCATGTTTCTGTTCACCCATCTAACTGCCTTATCACAAAGCTGAAGATGGACAAGCAGCGCAAGGAACTCATCGAACGCCGCCGCGCCGGCCGCGAGAAAATCCTCGCTAAGCTTGGCCACAACAAGAAGTAAAAATACCTGCTTCTAAATACTGCATTTCAATTATTCGAAATATAAATTACATTTTTTAAAAATTAATTAGAAAAAAAATTAATAAATAATCAGATTGAGTTAATATTATGACATCAATTATAAAACTAAATTGTGATATCAAATATGTGTTTGTATGGAAGTCTCAGAGCATTATTTGAAAAGATCTAAAATATATCCCTTTTTTGGTTTTAGATTCCGTACTATTAATATGATGAATCGCTTTCAATATAAATATACTTTAACTTATTTCATTCTTTCATCAATTTTTCAACAAATTAATTTTACATTTTGAACATTTCTATCTATTTTAGAAATTTAATGACATTTCCGAAGAAGTATAATCTTATTTAAGATAGATCTACCCCAAGAATTCTTACTTTTGATTGCTAAACGTACTTTTATTTTTGGAATTGACAGAAACAAAAGCATTAACATCTCAAGAAAAAAGCGCAATTGAAGATATTCTAAATGAAGCAGAGAACATGTATGCATCACCTCGCACTCCACATTCATCAACTAATACAAATAAATCGAAATCAAAAAGAAGTATTGCAGCATGGGATGACTCTATTGAGGGAGTCAATGCAACATCAAAATATTCTTCAATAAATAAGCCAGCATCAACAAGCAAATTGCCATATTCTCAAATGATTATTAACGAAAATCCCGATTTATTCGAATCTCAACTTTCAGCTCAAAATAATGAACCATCTAATATGAGTGATTCAGATGATAACTTTAACTCTAACGAAGAAGAAATAGAAGAACATAAACCTACAAAATCTAGACTTTCAAAGAAAGAATTATCAGATTTGATCCTCGAGAAAGCTCGAAGATCCGAATTACTTTCAAGTTTTCATGAAAATTCAGAAATATCAACTAATTTGATATCAAAGAGTAAGAAACAGACTAAACCAAGCAAAAAGATTCCATCGTTATACTCAAGGAGTATCAAAAAGATTTCTGATTCAAATTCTGATGTCACTGTGATGTATGATAGATATGACTTAGCCAAACTACGCCAAGATAATATAGATTACAGAAATCAAATTGCTAAGCTCAAGGCAGCAATAGACAAGGCCAATCTTGAAAACCAAAAGTTAAGACAAGAATTAGCAGAATCAGAAAAGATTTCTTCAAAGCAAAAAGCGCAAATTCAATTTTTGCTCAATAACAATAACAGGTAATTCTATTTATTGTTGTAATTTTGTTGTTTGCGCATTGGTGTCATCGGAAAGATTGGAATCTAAATAAGAGAATGATTTGTTATTATCTTTAGTATTAGTTATTTGTTTATTATTTCTTGTTATTTGTTATTAATTTATAAAATATGCGATTGATTGATATTATTGCAGAATAGTATTCAACCAATCATATGTTTGATTTTAACTTATAAAGGTCATGTTTTAACTATAAGGTTTGCTTAATGTATGAAGTAAAAAATCTTTCACATCCTTTTTGGATGCCTTGGGAAAAAATGGGTGTGTAATCAAAATGGCCAACGTTTGCATCCTCTTCAATTGGTGTCATTCATTAGCATATTAGTGAATTAGATAAAATAATGAATAGGACCAAACGCGTTATTGCATGAGTTTAAAAGTATTTAAAGCAGTTTTGTTCTCGTGTTTAATGTTGTATTGATGGAAAGAAATGAAAATAAGTTGGATTTTAATACAAACAATCTTTAAACTTTTTATTAATAAATCTATACAAATATAATAATATTAGTTTCTTATTGAACCAATTTTCTTTGGTGATAAAAAGAAATTCTGGTATTCTCTAAATTCAGGAGAAAGAACTCCTTCAGTGTCCAAAGCTTCGATATCTGACAAATACCTTGCAATCTGTATTTTAGCCATGAAATCACTGATGCCAATATTCATTGACAATGTTTTCAACAATTTGCAAGCTTCCAAAACAATTTCAGGATAAACTTCATCGATATTCAACAGCTCTCTTACTTTATTAATTATTACTTGGTAAGAGTTCTGAAGAACAGACAAATGACAAGTATTTAACAGTCTCAAAGAAAGTAAAACCATAATAGGAGGTGAAGAAATAGATGTTTGTTCCAAAATCACATTTTGAATATCATGTTCTTGCACGCAATCCGGTCTTAAATTGATCAAAGAAATCATTGTTTGGAAGATCTCTGGTTTCTGATCATCAGGAGCATCATTTAGATCCTGCATGAGGCATGAAACAATCAATGACAATTGAGGAATTGTTGTTTTGTTTTCTGACAAATTTCTGAAAATTGCCAAAGCTCTTGAAGTATCTCCAAACTGTGGAGCCAAAAACAACTGCGAGAAAATGTCCAAAATACCATTATCTGTTAATATCTGGCATCCAACTTTATGTTGTGACAAAGCACAGATAACTCTAACAGCATCATTTAGATAATATTTTCTCGAAATCAAATCAACTAAAATTTGTAAAATATTATCCATGTATTTTGTATTTTGGCAAAAGTTTTCATCCGCACAAAGATACGTCAAAATATGCAATATCTGTTTCTCATTTCCTTTCATTGTTTGTAGAAGAGAATGAAGAACAGGAGAATCACTTAATAAATAGCAAAAATCATGGATCTGAGATATCTGAAACAGAACAACTAATGGACATTTTGTTATCCTATAATTGGAAATCAAATTATCTAATGTTGGAAGGAAATCATCAAATTCTTTCATTTTTTCAAAAGTTTTCAAATCCAATTTTATCAAAAATTGAATGAAAACATCGGTTGTGTCACTTTTTGAAAGTGCTTTCAAACAATTCAAAACCAAATAATGGTAATATGATTCATCACTTGCTTCAATAAGAATTCTGACGAAATCAGAAGAAACAACAAATCCTGATGTCAACAAATCGTAAAACGGCCGAATTTGGTCGACTTTCATTACGAATTTGCATCTTTCTAAGAGAATTTCTATTGCATCGAATGTTTGTTGGTCATTAACTGTCTTGTACATGTCAATGATCACAGGGGCAATGTCATTCAAGTAAGGATCCAAATTCTTTATCTTAGAAAGTAGCTGCAAAATGTAATTTTTCAAATGATTAGATCCAGTTTTGATGAAAGAAACAATCTGTGGGATGAAAACACTTTTGAGGTCTTCAAGGAGATTCAAAGGCAACTTCAAACAAAATCTGACAGCTGCAATAATTTGTTGGTTTTGTATACATTTTTTTAACATTGTTTTCGCGCCATGACTCATAAACGTTGAAAGTTCACTTGTCGTAAACAATGTTCCCGCAAGAAGAAGAGCTGCATCAATGTTATTCTTCGCTGTCATGATAGAATTAAATACATCTCCATCACGAAGTTTAGAAATAACCGTTTTATCGGCATTTTCTGCCACAAAATACGCGACACTTGAAAAATGTTCATTGTTTGCGTTTTTGAGGACTTTCAAAGCGTATTCGAGATTCATTGGAGGGGCCACGAAATCATTCTTTAGTTGTTTGATTTTCTCTAGATCAGAACCAGGGAAATAAACCTCATGACGATCAAACAATCTTTCTATTTCATTGAAATCAGGTCTTTCATTTGGATCTCTACTCCAACATCTTTGTATAAGCTTTTTAAGAGGTTCAGGAGTATCCTGAGGTATTGTTAATCTCCAGCCTCTTGTCACAACATGCTCGTAAATTGCCATATGGTTCATATCACCGTAAGGAAGTTTTTTCGTCAACATTTCCCATAAAACAACTCCATATGAATAAGTATCAACATTCGGACCGTATTTCATATGCATTAATACTTCAGGAGCCGTGTAGTGTGGTGTACCTACACCGCCATATAATTCCTGGTTCTCTTTGACCATCCCTGACAATCCGAAATCGGCAACACAAGCTGTGTTGTCTTGATACAACAAAATGTTCAAAGTTTTCAAATCTCTGTGGACAATTCCGAGTTTGTGGAGATAGCACATGCCTTGAGCTACTTGGTGTGCAATGATAGTGAGTTCTGTACCTGTGAGAGTCTTGTATTCATGAGTGGAACGGTGTAATCGATCAAATAAACTTCTTCCGGGACAAAATCTCGTGATTATTCTGTAAGGTTCGTTTATGTGGGCTCCAACGAGTTCTAATACATTCTTATGGTGTACTGATGCCATGGTTTCGACTTCGGCGTATAAAGAGGACCATGAATTTGTGGATATTCTATCAGATCGTAATTCTTTGACTGCAAGTATTTCGCTGGTTGATATTCGAATGGCTCTGTATACTTTACCAAATCCGCCAACACCAATTTGGTTTTCTATCTGTAAATCGTCTATTGGAATGTTGATTGATTTAAATCTTACTAATAAATCCGAAATATCGCGTTCGTCCATCTCTTGTGCTTTGCTAGATTGTAGAGAACTTGAAAGAGAATGCTCTATTTTGGAATTAAGTACTAATTGTCCAATTTCGATGATTTTATTTTGAATTTGCTTTTGAATGCCAACAACATCGTTAACTGCCATTTGAGACATTAATCTTTGTAGTGAAGCTTTCATGTCGGTTAAGTCATTAAACTTATTGACTTCTATTTGATCCGAATTTGATTCTAATTTGTCGAAAGGAACGTTTATATGCTTTGCTAATGCTATTAAACTAGTTCTCAAGCCTTCAATATACTTGAAAACGTAGTCTGTTGGCCAGTTCAGTGCTGGCTGAATCCATTTTTCTGATGTAAGATGTCCTAAAACGGAGCTGTAATGCAATAAAAACTCCTGAAGCTGGCGCATGTATTTCTTTTGTATTAGGTTAGGGTTTTTGTTAAAAGAATTCTGAAAATCGATTAAAAAAGCTTCGATTTGATCAGAAAGTAGCTTAATTGAGTTGCAGAATATGCAAACTTCTGAAGATAGGCTAACTACTTTCTTAACTGCAGCAATGACAGAACTAATTTGCTGGTTAGATAAATCTGTCATTGCTGGTTGATTTGCAAAGTGCAAAATGACTAAATTAAGGTATATTTTAGATCAAATATAGTAAAAAATAATATACACTATATACAATGTGTGTTAATCTAAGAAAAGTAATATCAAATATTTTATTATCATGTGTATATGCATATAATTCTATGATGAACGAATTCCAATTATGTTAGAAAAACCGATTCTAATGATTTTAGAGTAATATCTAGATATTTATAAAATATTAGATAAATACAGAAACTTATATATCAGGAATCTCCGAAAATGATATATGGTATGATTACAAAGTAAATCTAGAAAGAGATTTTATCAAACACTTTTTTTCTTCTTATCTAACATTTAGTCCCATAATTGAAGAATTTCGAGTAAACTACATATTAACTGAATTACTTATTGTTTTGAAAAGATGGTGCTCTAGTACTCAATGTAAGTTGACTGTAAGTTCCGACAAAATTTTATATGATTTTTGGAAAATCGGAAAATAATCTGATCAAAATATGAAAAAGTGTGATGTTTAGCTTAAGCATATATAGTATCTAATCCCAAACGATCGATGTATTTGATGCAAAATCCCACTAAATTTCTATCGTCTTTCTAAACGCTTAAGTTTGGGTAATGGATTTATCGCCAGGACGCGGCGCTTTGAGCCCGGCGATGTCTGCCAAATATGATAAGTGTTTTACAAATATCAATATAACAGAGTTTCCGCCGCTTGATCAGCTTGAAAAATATGAATCTATATCATTTGATGGCTGTCAAATACATTCATTTTCTACTATGCCGAAACTACCACTTCTGCGAAGGCTTTGCTTAGATAATACTCGTATCTCGTCGTTCCAAAAATGTCAATCACAATCTAAATTGTCGTCAATATCAGTGATAAACACACCACTCGAGAAGTATACGCATCTAAACATCATGTGTGTTATAGCACTCGGTGATAGAATTCGCAGAGTTAACGGAAAATCACTTACTTCGGAAGAAATTCATTTTGGGAATGTATATAGAAGCAAACTACAACCATATTTACAAAATGGATACATGTTGTTAGATATAGATCCTATTAAACTCTTCAACAAACAAACACAAGATACAAAATATATAACTGTTAATCAGAGAGCAAAATCGCCTTATAACTATCACTCTCCGAAAGAAAACGTTGTGAAGCACAGATCTATCAAAAAAAGAGCTATGTCTCCCATTGAAAATCGAAAAGATGAAATTATTATTATACAACACGATAACAATGAAAGCTCGCCACGTGTAAAAAACGATAATATTACTCCTACCAAACCTCACAGATCGAAAAGTAGCCCAAAAGGCAATACTTCCAAACATAACGGACATAGGTTCCCTCCTCCTGCAATTAACGAGCCATTAACACCATTATCACCTAGATCACCTATATCTCCGAACAAAAACGATAAACAGAGGTCGAAAACCCCTGTTTTCAGTACAAAAAATTATAATGCGAATCCTTTTAAACAGATCTCGAAAACTCCTGAGCGAAACAGTCCATCTAAGATATCTGATGATGATACTACTACTATAGATATGGCAAAAGAAGTTCTTTCTGTATTCAAAGCGCAAACAAATGAAAAAAGAAGAAAAAAGAAGTCAAAAGAAACCTCGAAAATCCCTGGTCTTCTTGATTTCGGAACTGTTCATATTACTCAGTGTAATGACTCCAGTGATGCTGATGAGAGATTCCAGAAGACGTTCGATCAAAAGAAATCTGTCAAGAAAAAAGACTTCATTGAAAAATTGAAAGAAGAAGAAAAAATTCAAAAAGTGTCGGATTTACAAAAATACCAAAAAGTGATAGATTTACAAAAAAATCAAAAAGTGACAGATTTTGAAAAATCACCAAAAGAGGTACAAAAAGTGCATAATGGCGAATCGAGTGAGATCCATCTTGTAGAGGATAGCTCAAGCGAGCTTAGTGGTATTGTTAAAGCTCGTGATTTGCCTTCTTTGCAGTTAGATATCCGTGATGCAAACGAATTACAAACACTCGATATAGCTGATGAGATAATAATACCTCAGAAAGCTCCAAAACGCATAGAAAAGAAGAAAGAATCTGAATCTGAGTCAATTTCATTGACTTTTACCATGAATCAATTAGATACTACGACAACTATAGTAAATACAGCCTCTCGCAGTAGAATACGAAGGAGTAGGAGAAGAAGACATGCCAAAGCTCCGAAATTGGCATACGATCCCCCTCCAATTACCAATGATTCAGAAACACCAGATTTTATTACAGGAAAAGTCACCAGAGACATGGCTTATCAAGCATTTTATGCAACGCATAAGAATGAAATAAGTACACCTGAAGAGGTTGAACAGTTTATATGTGATTATATAAGAAAATACAATCGGAAATAAATGTTTTGTTTTTAAATTTTTTTGTAATTAACTACTATATTTTTAGAGAATGTGTTGTAAACAGAAATTCATCAAAAGTGACACATCAGAAAAGCTAAAATATTGAATTTTTGGAACTTTTGATAGAGCACGTTTTTAAATATTAATTAAAGTAAATGTATATTTTGTAGAGATTCTTTTTAATAAAAAAGTAAAATTTTGAAGAAGAACACAAAATCTTCTGAAAAATAATATCACATAAACTCATATTATTTTCTAATATATAACTATTTTATATAAAATCAAATTCAATGATCTTAAAAGCGAAGGATAAACCTCAAAATTTACGAATATAATGAGTGGGAATATAATGCTTATCTATCATAAAACCATATGAAATATCAATTTTGCTTTACGCCTAATTTTTTGACGACAATTAGCAAAAAATGTTAAATGTTAACACTCAGTCCATTTGAATATGAAAAATAAAATTGACTTTGATTAAATGTTTTTATTTATCATGCAATTCTTCTTGCGACCAAAGATTTGAATAAAGTTCAAAAAAATAAGAATAGCTTAAAAAATAATATACGGTAGTGTTTATTAATAGATGAATAGTATATAAATTCTATTAAAATGGATTTGATCCAAAAAATATAAAACCAAAAATAATTGTTATAATTTAAATGAGAAGTAATTTAAAACGATTTTATTTATGATCAAATTTTATATATTTTTTGGATCAAATCCATTTTAATAGAATTTATATACTATTCAATCTATTAGTAAACACTACCGTATATTATTTTTTAAGCTATCTTATTTTTGAACTTTTATTCAAATCTTTGGTCGCAAGAAGAATTGCATGATAAATAAAAACATTTAATCAAAGTCAATTTTATTTTTCATATTCAAATGGACTGAGTGTTAACATTTAACATTTTTTGCTAATTGTCGTCAAAAATTAGGCGTAAAGCAAAAATTGATATTTCATATGGTTTTATGATAGATAAGCATTATATTCCACTCATTATATTCGTAAATTTTGAGGTTTATCCTTCGCTTTTAAGATCATTGAATTTGATTTTTATATAAAATAGTTATATATTAGAAAATAATATGAGTTTATGTGATATTATTTTTCAGAAGATTTTGTGTTCTTCTTCAAAATTTTACTTTTTTATTAAAAAGAATCTCTACAAAATATACATTTACTTTAATTAATATTTAAAAACGTGCTCTATCAAAAGTTCCAAAAATTCAATATTTTAGCTTTTCTGATGTGTCACTTTTGATGAATTTCTGTTTACAACAACATAAAAATAAAATAAAAATAATTTTAATAAAATAAAATAAAAAATAAATGATATCACTACCTTCACGCGTATGAAAACATAGCACAAAATAAATTAAGGTGAAGTGGTGAAATCTCACCTCTTTTTTCACCCGGTTTTTCACCCACTTGAATTCATTGCTTTATAACTCTCTTCTAACTCACTAAATAATAAAATAAAATAAAAATAAACGTTGTCAGAGGTGAAAAAATAAATTAAGGTGAAGTGGTGAAATCTCACCTCTTTTTTCACCCGGTTTTTCACCCACTTGAATTATTTTAAAATTAATGTTAATTTTTTAAAATGTGTTTAGTATATAATATTTATTACTAATTTATTTAATAATGTCGCGCTTTCTTACGAATTCATGACTTAAAAAAACGTAAGAAAAATTTTTTATATCATCTATATATAGAAGATGTGAAAATAAATTATTTTAAAATTAATGTTGATGTAAACAGAAATTCATCAAAAGTGACACATCAGAAAAGCTAAAATATTGAATTTTTGGAACTTTTGATAGAGCACGTTTTTAAATATTAATTAAAGTAAATGTATATTTTGTAAAGATTCTTTTTAATAAAAAAAAATAAAATTTTGAAGAAGAACACAAAATCTTCTGAAAAATAATATCACATAAACTCATAATATTTTCTAATATATAACTATTTTATATAAAAATCAAATTCAATGATCTTAAAAGCGAAGGATAAACCTCAAAATTTACGAATATAATGAGTGGGAATATAATGCTTATCTATCATAAAACCATATGAAATATCAATTTTTGCTTTACGCCTAATTTTTGACGACAATTAGCAAAAAATGTTAAATGTTAACACTCAGTCCATTTGAATATGAAAAATAAAATTGACTTTGATTAAATGTTTTTATTTATCATGCAATTCTTCTTGCGACCAAAGATTTGAATAAAAGTTCAAAAAATAAGATAGCTTAAAAAATAATATACGGTAGTGTTTACTAATAGATGAATAGTATATAAATTCTATTAAAATGGATTTGATCCAAAAAATATAAAACCAAAAATAATTTTATAATTTAAATGAAGAAGTAATTTAAAACGATTTTATTTATGATCAAATTTTATATATTTTTTTGGATCAAATCCATTTTAATAGAATTTATATACTATTCATCTATTAGTAAACACTACCGTATATTATTTTTTAAGCTATCTTATTTTTTGAACTTTTATTCAAATCTTTGGTCGCAAGAAGAATTGCATGATAAATAAAAACATTTAATCAAAGTCAATTTTATTTTTCATATTCAAATGGACTGAGTGTTAACATTTAACATTTTTTGCTAATTGTCGTCAAAAATTAGGCGTAAAGCAAAAATTGATATTTCATATGGTTTTATGATAGATAAGCATTATATTCCCACTCATTATATTCGTAAATTTTGAGGTTTATCCTTCGCTTTTAAGATCATTGAATTTGATTTTTATATAAAATAGTTATATATTAGAAAATAATATGAGTTTATGTGATATTATTTTTCAGAAGATTTCATTCTATATGCCTATGAAAAGTACTCTCAAAACTAACTTTTCCTAATTATAATTAAATCTAGAATATTGTATTATGCTTAGTATTATTTCATTTTTCTCATTCAATTTAGAATTTACAAATGTCAAAAAATTGAGAGCTGTCACTTTTGATGAATTTCTGTTTATTACAAATGCAATTTAATATTTCAACTAATATGTTAATTTTTCAATTTTTATATACTGCACAATGAAGTGCAGTTTTTCCATTTACAACTTTTGAATGAATATTTTTTTGTAAATTTGAATAGCTGAATATTTATTTTTTTCTGTTTAGTATACATATCAAAATCTAATCAATGTGAATATTAGATCATATTACATAAATTGTATAACGTGAACTAAGACAGGAATTTTTTTTTCAATAGAATTATTATCAGGAGCATTAATAGGCATGGATATAGGAAGCTACAGATGACATTTAGAAGAGTAGCTATGGCTTCAATTACCCGTAATTTTCTCTAGTGATTGTTGAAAGATTTATTAAATGTTTAAAAAATGTTCATAATCAGAATATGCAAATGTTATAAGTTGGGCGATTATAATACTATTCTACAAGCTATCTTGCAAATGTTTAAAAAAATAATCAATGAAAGAAATAACACAAAGCATATGAATTTATACAATCTATCGATAATATATGATGCAATTCATTGAATCTTGATTAATTTCAGAAAGGTATAATTACAGTAATTATCAACAGTATAAGCGATCTAAAATATTCAAACTCGTGATTATGTCGGGAAATTGATACTATGTTTTGTGAAGAATCTTTCTGATAGCAAATAATAGTGATATTTTAGAAATTCAAATAACATTAACCGGAAATATCGGTGCTTTTAAAAAAACTCGTTCCCTTCTCAATTTTTGAGTACTCTAAACGATAGGGTGTCAAGATTTTGACGATAGAATGTCAAGATTTTGACGATAAAAAAATATCCCGCCAAAACTAAAATTCTTATTAAACTTTACCAATACATTTGTAATTATATGGATAGCATTGTTTCTCATATAATGGAGTTGAAAAAAATCAAGCCACATTGGGGAAAAGCATAAATATCTAAAAAATTGAGGGAAAATCGATAATTACTTATGGTGTAGTTGTATGAGTTGAGGAACCAGGTTCGATTAAATTTTTTGAAAAGATTTTTTCTTTTTTCATAAAACATGCTAGTAATTAGAATTCTAAATAATTGTTTAAAGCTGTTATCTATGAAAATCATTCAAATTGAAATAAACTACAAAAATTCAATTAATTTTATTTTTCATATGTCTAAATTCTGCATGTTTATATAAATCCCGAAATATATATGTATTTCCGATTCATAAAATCGAAATAGTAGGCTCATAAATGAAAATATATCATTATATTTTTTCCATCTATCAATTACATGTTTAGATTTATATTTCAATCTATTAAACAATAGATTTTAAAGGAATTGATACAATTAATTTTGTTATATTTATCGTTTATGACTATTACGTATTTAATTAACAGTAATTATAAAAGAAATAGAAGTCTGAAGTATTGAATATAATAGTATATCAAGTATATGTCATGATATCATGAACAAATGCTTTATTGTTCAATTTTCGATAAAATCATTTTTCGATAATGAGTTTAATTATTTTACTGGCAAATAATTCCAAGTGTCATAACATTATAATATAATATGCTTAGTTAAATCTAGTGAATATTTATTATTTGCCTTCAAAATACTAACAAATAAGAAAAAAGAAAAAAAGAAAACCTGAAAATTAAATCGAACCTATGACCTCTACTATCCAAATATATGATTGTACCACTAAACTATGGTAGGGATAGACCCTGCCAAAATTTTTTAATATAAGATCTTTTTCCCCACAGCCTGCAGCTGTTTGCCACTTTAAGTCCCAAAAAATTGAATTGCGACCGAGATTTTTTTTAGCGGACGATAATTCCGACTAATGTTAGTCATGTTTTCAATAAATAATTTCTGAATGTATATTTTTATATGAGTCATGCACTAACTATTTAGATTCATTTAGAATAGTTTTCATAACGAAATAATATTGATTCGATCTATTTACGAAATACATTTTAACATTATTTGTAAATTTTTCTCATCTAGTTTCAGCTATACTAGATTCACAGAAAAGTGCATATAATTCTTTATGATTTTCTAAAAAAAGTATTTTATTTGAAATTTTCATACATTTTTCTACAAGGTTTTTTGATTATTATGTTCTGTTTCTATTTTTTCATAGAGGTTTTGTGAACAAAATGATGGGTTGTCAGATATTTACGATTTGACATATTGAAGCCCAATTTTTATCAAAAAGTAGGCTCTCAAATTACTTTTAGGTATAAATAATGTATATCATATCTAGATTCATTCTAATACTATTTTATTCCACCTCACCGGCCATTTATAAGATAAGTCATCCATATAAGACGGGAATTTTTCAAGTGTTCGGATCTATTCAATTTTTTTCAGTTCACTATTAAACAATGTCATCAAAGCCCACGAGCAAAGGTGGAAAGCAAAATGAATATATAAAGAGACAAATTGCATCGAGAAAAAAGCATGAGGATGAAATTCCCGAAGAATTCAAAAAATCCGAATTTTTTGAAAACTTAAAGAAAGAGAAGAAATATAAGCTCAATGCCTTTATGATCAGAATAGGCAAAGTCTTTGGGGAAGACTATAATCCTGATGATTATAGGAACTTAATAACCATCGCTTATTGGTTCTTTCAAAATAATCGATGGGATAAATATAAAGACAAGATTGAATGTGTGAAAGTTGACAAACGCGAAGGAACTGCATTCATCACGTTTACTGACGAACTTTTTATAGAATCAGACCCTCCTGAAGGTTTTAAAGTGAAAAAGAACGGAACAATTGAAGGTATTTTCTGTGGTGAACGTCAGACAAGAAGAGATCTTTCTCTATCTACATCTTCATCAGAGAACTCGACTTCTCATGATTCCTCAAGTTCAACACCACCTGTTCAAAGTCAAACTCCTTTGAACTCCCCTTTAAGATCCCAAATTCAAGATGATTCATCTCCAAGTTGGAATGCTTCATCTCCAAGCTTGAATGCTTCATCTCCAAGCTTGAATGCTTCGTTTAATCCTGAAGAAACTCAGAATCCTTTTGATCAATCAACTAACTCCGTTAGTCAAGATTTAGTGTGTGATGTTTCTCTCACTGATTCACCATTTGATGGACTCAATGATCCATTCGAAAATTATGGTGATTCCTACTTAGAAGGAACTTATGATGGTGAGGTCTTCTAAGAAGGATATGTAATCTGACAGTCTCCTTGGAGCTTATGTAATTTCTTGAAAATAGACTTTGCATAATCTTCATGTGAGATTTCGGATTATCTTTACTTCAAGGTCGCATTTACATATGCGCATTGGTAAACACTCAATTATCTAACTTATTATTATATAGTTTTTTCTTCAAAACAATATGATTTTAAAACAATTTCAATTAAGAATTTATATTTCAAAATTAATTTAGAATGTATCAATACCATAATTTGTAATTTCTTTCCTTAATTATTAGACATCGTAAAAAGAGTTTGATTCAGGATCATTAAAAATTATTGTTATCAATTGAAACTTTTGAGTTTAATATCTCCCTAAAATGACTTCTTTGGTGACATGATATATTGTATTGTGCAGTTCGCGTTTGATTTTTGAGAAAAAAACAAAAATAATATCCTAATATACATAAAATTTAAATAAAATACAAAGAAATAAATATACATTCTTCTATTTAAATCCAAATCCCTCTGTGTGCTGTATAATAATGAAAAGGGATTGTTTCATTTTTTCTCTTGTTGGATAATCAGGGAGTCCAAGGGTAAGCATGCAAGTGTGGGCAACAGGAAGTAAGTTCGTGTTCTTCTCTTTCTCAATAACAAGCTTGATTGTGCCAAGACCTCCAATCGGGGAATAATCAGCACCTGTAACGAATTTTAGAAAGGCTCTTCTATTGTCATCGTTGAAATCATTCTCGAATATGCTCCAAAAGTTCTTGATAGCGCGGGAATTCATTTGATATCCGACATATCTCGTTGCTTTCTTCAAAGCTGGCCAGTCGTATTGCGGAGAACCAGAAACTATTTGGTCTAAATCCTGCGGAGAAAAGATATTTATAAGTTCTGGAGTTATTACAGCTCTAAAACCTTCAGCAAGTGATTCAAACTTGGACCTGAAGCTCTCACTTGTATGCCAATCAAGGTACATCACGACAAACTGCTCAAAGTTGTCATTAGTAACTGGTATTTTATCTCCATCTGGAACAAGCGGAGTTTCCATCATTTCTCCGTATGCCTCATATGATGTTGTGAAATATAATCCGATATCTTCGATATTTTCGCCCTTTTCTTTCATCTCCCTCATTTGGGAAACGGATGTAACGAAATGAGGGTCAATTTCTGCAAGATCGTTCAAAGTAATGGTCTTATTGAGAATCTTCTTGTACATAAGTAATGGAAAACGTACAGGTAATGGCACTTTGTTCACTGCTCCGAGGCCAATAACTAATCCCAACAGTCTGAAAAGGGAATTTTCGCTTTTTGACTCAGGAACAAACCAGTAGTACTTGGAATTAACATATCTAAACATTCCGTAGTCGGGAGAAAAGGCGATTTCCGTGAGTTTGAAAAAGAATTCCCTTGTTAAGCCTCCCCAATCAGCTCCGTCTTCTCCTTGGAAGGTAACTTGGAAAGGAAGTAAGAATCCATTGGGTGGAATTCGCTCAATTGCTGAAAGAGCTGTTTGAATAATATTATTTCTGTCAATATTGACTCTATTTGCTCTATTTATGGTTGACTGTTCTCTGTAGTATGAAATATTCTTATCAAAAACGAACTGTTTCGCAGGAGTTGTAAAAATAATATGAATTAAAGCAAGAGGCTCAAGATTAAAGTAAGTACCTTCGTGCATAAGGAATTTTAGGAGCCTTTCCGATTTCATAACGATAAATTTTTCTGGATCTTCCATTCTAAATTTAAATAATCTTGTTAAAAACTTAGCAATTGGAAAGATTATATTCCCTGTCATAGGTGATAATAATCTTACCGATTTCATAAAGTTCTGAGCAGCTGAATGCACTGCTTCTACAATTTTTGTTGAATATAATGGAAGTATCTCAACTTGATGCCAGAATTCTCTTTCTGGATTTTGTGGTAGGTTATTTATGTGGTTAATTATTGATAAAACTGTAGCACAAGACCTATTATCGAAAAATATTGAAAATGCAAAAAGAATAAGAAGTCCTCTTACATGAAAACGCGTTTGGCAGTTTTGTTGGAAGAAACATTGTATCATATTTAAGAAATTGTCTTGATAAAATGCAATTTTTCCTGCTTCGCGTGAAATAAAGTTTGCTAGTTTGTATAATTGCTGATCTTTAAGTTGCATGTCTTTGAAATTATAAACTATTGGGTTTTCTACGCATAAATATGGGAATAAATCACAATCACCTAAAAATTTTTGGAGCTGATCAATTTGATATGGATTTAATCCAACTACATCGTCTGATTCTATTAATGGAATTAAAAATTGATTAACTTCGGTTAAATTTAATACAATTTCTGGCCTTCTGATAATTGGGAGTAATCCATCGCATAGTTTCTTTTCATTTGCATGCCTGGCAGCAAGTTGTTCAGCTTTTACATCATTGGGGATATCTTGTTCCAATCCATAAATGCACCCCTTGCAATCAAAGTTCATACATTCGAATTTGTCGCATCCCTCATCTAGTTGCATTTTATACATGCCAACTATTTTAGGATCGGGAAGCATAATAACATCCATGAAATTTTTATAAAAATTTTTGATAAATATTTCTTCCATTTAGATTTGTTACGTCTACCTAAAGAAATTCCTCAAATAAATACCGATTTTTCGCCATTCTGCTAAAGATAAACACATTTTTTCGAAATTCATCATCCTTTGTTAATTTTGATATGAAACTCTCCCAATACTTGGAGGCCTGTAGGCTATGGAAACTTGAACCATGAAAATGAGTTTAAATAATCCAGATTAATACTATTTTTTTCATGGTTTTAAATTAACACATTGAAAAGAAGGGATACTATAAAACATATTTTATGCATTTTTAAGTAAAAGTGTGAAAAAAAAAACAAAAAAATATTAAACAAATTTAAGGGAAAATTCCACTTGGAACTGGAATGCTATAAGCATTGCACAAATCCATGGTCAATCTTTGGAATTCCACTGATCCTTTTCCTTTTGTATTGTATAATCCGACAATTGCAGCATCTCTCTTTTCAAAGAGGCTTTTAAGTGATGTATCTGATGTATCTTGAGCAGTTTTGATATCATTCTGAAGTTTTTGAACAAGATTTATTATGGAAGTACGATAATCTTTCATTGCGGTCTGAGATTTCATATGAAAACGATCATCAACACGCTGCATTCTAATTTTCATGTCTCTCTCTTGAATAGCGTATGCTTCTTGTTGAAGAGTTTCAGCATTGTCGTAATTTCCTAAGGAAGCAGCCTTTCTTGATTGTGAAATGAGAGTTTCATAATCAGGAACTGGGCGATAAAGCTCATGTAAGCGATGAGATGCATGTTGTTTTTCGAGTTCGACTAAATCTTGTGTTTGCTGTTTTCTTAATTCAGTAAAAATGTCGTTAACGCGAATTCTAATCTTTTTAATGTTATCCTCTCTTTCGTTGTTCAATTCATTTTGACGCTCATTGTACATTGCAAAAATTTGAATTAATGAATCCTTATATTCGTCTATTTTCAGTTGATGAGCTTGAATACTTTCTTCTTCATTTATTCTTTCGATTTCTTGATCAATATTTCTCGCTGTTTGATAATCTAAATTTTGAATTGCAATTTTCTTCTTTTTTCTAAGATCGAGTTTAGTCTGATGGTTTTGGCTTGGTGCAGGGAATTCTTTCTTTGTTTCTCTTTTACTTCTGGTAGAAGAGATCGATTGGTTTGACTTATCCATCTTTCTGCCGTTTTTTTTTTATCGATTTCATTATTTTCTTTAAATTTCCTTTAGTATCAATTATACATCCCATATAGAACAGATCTGCTTAGATGTTATCTTCAGAATTCAAACACAAAGAATTATGATTGAAATTGATTCTTTCTTCCTATTTGAAGAAGGAGTACACTATTGCAAAGGAATGTGTTCGAAAATTACATTGACATTCGATTCAAATACAAAACATTTAAATTTTTGCAAAAATCGCTTCAATTTCTATTAACTTATAATCAAAATGTGAGGAACCCTAAAACAACCTTTTTATGTATATCAAAAATCAAGCAAAACTTCGTCACTCATATTTGAAGTGCTTCTCCATTTTTTGTCACTTCAATTCTTTCAATCATTTTTTATTTCGTATAGTCGAAACAGAGCGATCTCCCTCGAACCCACTATCGCATTATCTGGATGTGATTTTTGTACTAATAATTGAATCATTATGCATCTTTTTATGCACTTTTAATTATACTCCAGATCAAATTTTAATGAGATTTATTATTTCAACGGAAAATGACTATTTTGATATAGATAAATATATAGGAAAAACACTAAACATTACAAGTTGGAAGAAATGGAAAGATATTCCAAATCTAGAAGTTAAAGAATTATATTTTAATATTCCTATTAATAAATTAATGGCCATGGTACAAAATTGTCCTAAAAGCTATCTCATTACGTACTTTTCCAGTTCAGCTGTCAGAGAATTCACAAGATTGATTCATATTAAAAACGTTTTTGTAACAAAAGAAGGAATATATAAAGACTCAAGTGAAATTAAGTTACCTAACTCCAAGATAAAGTTTAGATCAAAGAAAATTTTATTCAATGGCACAATTTATGATAAATTAATTTATGGCGTCAATACTTGGGGAGCATGGGGTCATTTCCTTAATGGATCACCTTTATCAGGTTTATTATACTTTCCCGAAGAAATTGTCCGCCAATCAATGTTCTATTGGCAAGTTCAAGATATGAGATTCGCTCATGATGTCTATGAATTTGGATTCCAAATTGCTGGCATTGCAGTGATTGATTCAACTGCAGTTTTTGTAAGAGATCTTTATATTTCTGCTCCAATTGACATTGTCAATGGACAAAATCACTTTACAAGAATGCTTCGCGAAAAAGTATATAAGTTTTATAAGCTTGAAAATGTTATTCCGAAATATGGATTGATAACAAATAGAAGACCTGGATCAAATAGATGTGTGAGAAATATGGATGAATTTATCAAAGAAATTAAAGCTAAATACCCTCATATAGAGTGGTTATATCGTAATGATTCTCAGCTAATAGACACACCTCGTGCTGTTAAAGATCTTGCAAATACGAAATATTTTATTTGCCCTGCAGGATCAAATTCTTTCAAATGCGTCTTTTTGCATGAAAATTGTGGAATGTAATGATTGGATCTGATGTTGATAACTGGCCTTGTTATGGTGTATCTCATTGCCTTGGAATCTGGACAACAGTTTCATATAATACAGAATTGCCTTTCCATTCGCAATCTGAAGATATCAACATTTCTAAGAATTTGAAATTCCTTGAATACATGATTTATGCCGTTGACAATCAAAAATGGCCTTCACAGATTGACTTTGATGTTTCTTACTATTTTGAGCAGGATATCCACAGAGAAATTATAGCGATTGATCCTAAAGCTTCGATATTAGTTGGATGTGATTTCAACAAATACCTTAGCAATTTGAAGCAAAATATTTCACAAGATAAGAGATGCGGAGAAGAGAATAATTTGTATACTAATTACATGCCAGCTGAATAAAGTCAATAGAACATAAACATCTCCCATTAAAATAATGATATGTTAAATCAGAACTTAATATTAAAAATTAATCTTTTTGAATCTATAATCGCGTAAAGTAGAAGTTGGAAGCCTACTGATTCCTCATAAGTAGTATTATAATGTGTTAAATCTAAAGAAATATTATGTATTTTATCTTCTTCTTGGAAAGAAATTTAAATAAAAAGTGTAATTAATAGTCTTATTGGTAATATGGGTAAATAAATACCACTGAAGAGTTATATCATTTTCAAAAAAAAGAATATTGCAATATTTTAATTTATTATAAAAACAACGCGAGAGAAACAAAAGTATAAGAAAAAAGTTCAGCATGTGCACTCAATAAAGGGTACAGTATTGTTTAGATGCTGAATGATCTAATAAAATTGAAAGAAATCAAGAACTATCATATGATCTATGAAGTGTGTTTGTAAGTAATTCAAGTAGCGCTGCTTTGTGGCTACTATTCATAGTTTGTAAGTTTAAATTAATTTCTTGTTCTTGATTATCAAGAAAAACGTAATTTTGACTTTCAGGAAATCCTTTTACTAGTGGACCACAGTTCATTGATAGAGGTTCTTTGTTTTGTTGTGGAATATTTTTTGAATGTTTTTCATCTGTTGAAGCTACTTTATTGAGAATTGCGATTTCATTCCAGTATCTAAATAACGAATCTTCTCCAAGTAAATTTCTTGAGTCTGTTATTTTGATTTGATTATGAAGATCTTTATATTTATAGTAAGTCTTTCCATTTTTAGAGTAATGGCCTAAGATTACAATGTCTCTTCTAAAATCGTAGATTGGAAGTTTATCAATTGTATTTTTAACATATCTTTCTACATTTGCTTCGACTGTCATAAGAAAATATAAAACAACTGATAAATATTCATACTATTTTTCATGTGGTAATCTAAATCTAGTAGCAAAAAACACAATTTTCAGGAAATATAAGGTGATTATTTTTGAATTTATCTTATAAACATTTTAAATGGAAATATTTGAATATAATGGATAAAATTAAATACATTTGTAGATTTAGTAAATTCCAAATTTTTTTCATAAATCAAAAAATGAAAAACAATTTCTAAATTTTGATAATTAAATTTTCATTTTCAAAAAAATCCGAAATAAGTTTTATTCACTATTTAATCAACACTACAATTCTTATTGATATTGTCAGTTTGTCAAAATATCGTACCAATTTGAGAGAATGAGACCAAAAAATATTTTTTTTTCGCTAAATGGATCCAGTTGATATCATTCAAAAGCGCGAAGACGAAAACGGCATTCGTCTTTCGTTTAACTTATGGCCAACCAACAGAATTGATGCTGTCTCGGCCAGCTGCCCAATTGGCGCTCTTTACACTCCACTTAAGAAATTGACACCAATCGGCAAAATCCAGAGAACACCACTCGAATACGAGCCAGTCCTCTGTCCAAACTGCCGTGGTGCATTAAACTGCTACGCACAAATCGATTTTAATTCTAAGACATGGGTTTGCCCACTTTGCAAGACAAGATGCCCACTTCCAAGCCAATACTCTAATATCACAAAAGAGCTTCTTCCATTAGAACTCCATTCTGAAGTCAATACTGTTGAATATCTTGTTAATCAAGGAACTGTCAAACCACCAATCTTTGTTTTTGTTGTTGATATCTGCAGTAACGAGAAGGAACTTGAGAATCTTAAGTCAGTTCTTCTCCAAGCCATTGCCATTTTGCCAGAAAATTCTTTGGTCGGATTCATTACATTTGGATCCTCTGTTAAGATCCATGAGCTTGTTGAGATCCCATACCCACGTTCCTACATCTTTTCTGGCAATAAGACTTACAACGCTCAAGAATTAGCCACAATGCTTGGTATCCAACGCCTCGCCAACGGTGAAGTCCAAACAACAATCATCGTTCCAGCCAAGCAGGCCGAAGACATGCTCAACAACTTAGTTGATCGCCTTGAAGTCGACAAACTTCCAATTCCAAAGGACGAACGTATGCAGCGTTGCACAGGTGCAGCTCTTTCAATTGCTGTTACATTACTCGAAGCCGTTTGCCCATTAATTGGCGGCCAAATTTTCTTGTTCACATCCGGCCCAATTACAAAAGGTCCCGGAACAATGGCCACTCTCAAGCGTGGAGAACCAGTCAGACAGCACAGTGATATCGAGAAAGGAAAGGCAGACCTTACACGCGCTTCTCAACAATTCTTCTCCGAAATCGGTAAGAACGCAAGTACAAAGAATATCGTCATCAACTACCTCTCAGCTTGCTTCGAAGAAGCCGGCTTGTACGAGCTCGAACCAGCCATTCTTATCACTGGTGGTTGGCTTATCTCAGCTGAGTCATGGGGTGATGTCAACATTTCACAGTCCATTGTCAAGTACTTCACAAGCATCTTAGAGAACGCCGGCGCCGAAGTCCAAACACAGATCATTTGCTCGAATAACTTTAAGATTTCCGGCTGCATTGGTCCATGCTCTCCAAAGGAGACACCAGGACCAGCAGTATCCGAAAAGCAGATCGGTATTGGCGGCACAACATCCTGGAGTCTTGGCGGCGCATTACCTTCAACAACATTAGCATTTTACTTCGATATTACAGCTTCTAAGGCCGATCCAGTTCCAGTTGGCACTACAGCATTCATCCAATTCGTCACTACATACAGAAATGTCCTTTCCGGACAATACGTTCGCCGTGTTACTACAACAGCCGTTAATTTCGGAGACATGAACGACAGAAGTTCATTCGCAAGGTCATTTGACCAGGAATGCGGCACAATTTTGTTGGCAAAGCTTGCCATGTGGAAATGCCGCACCGAGGACAATCTCGACGTCATCCACTTCATCGATAAGACACTTATCAGGTTCTGCAGATGGTTCGGTACATACAATCAAGGCGATCCTTCATCATTCACTTTCGGAGAGTCATTCACCTTCTTCCCACAGTTCTTATACCACTTAAGACGTTCTCCATTCATGAGCACATTCAACTCTTCTCCAGATCTTACAGCGTCATTAAGACATTCCCTTCTCATGGAGGACACAACTAACTCGCTCTTCATGATTCAGCCGACACTTATGCAGTACACTGCAGATTTCCAGCAGTCTCCTGTTTTCTTGGACATGAATTCGCTCAAGAAGGATACAATTTTACTTCTCGATACTTTCTTCAGAGTTCTCGTCTGGTATGGTGAAAATGTTGCTTCCTGGAGAAACCAGGGTCTCGATAAAAATCCAGATTACGAAAATGTTAAATGGATGCTCGAAACTCCACTCCAAGAGGCCAAGGCACTCATTTCTGAGAGATTCCCAACACCACTCTTGATCACATGCGACCAGGATTCATCTCTTTCAAGATATTTGCTCGCAAGATGCAATCCATCCGAAAATAACTACAACGGACTCGGCGGCTCTACAAATTCACTTTCTACTGAGGAACCTTCACTTTCTAAGTTCCTCCAGAAGTTGAAGGATGTCGCTGTAAACGACTAAAAAGCTTTATTTCAATTTTTTTAAATTCAAACATATCTTGAAGGGTGCACCCGTATGTACGTTTATTTGAGAGGAGGAGGATTACCCTCTCAATTTTGAGGGATTCGTTAGTTTATTTTCTCGATGAATATGGAATAAAATTTGATTTTTACCTTATCAATATACTTCATATAATATACACATGTTCATGTAAAAACTTTTTTCCAAAATCCTCAGGAATTAAGGGATTTTTGAATTTTAAGAATTTTTTTCGAATTTTTTCGAAAAAAAAATATTTTCAGAACAGCCTTAACGGCTAAGATTTAGGAACAATGTTAAGTATCAGAAAGAAAGGAGGTCTGATATAGACAACATATATCGTTGAAGGTTGAAAAAATCTCTAATATTTGAGCCCAAAATTTCAAATTTTAATTTTTTGAAAAAAGAGGCCACCCGTATGTACGTTTATTTGAGAGGAGGAGGATTATATTTTTGAAAGGGTGAAACATTATGAATATGTTAATTATATAATAATATGTATTATTATAAAAAAGAAAAAATAAAGCACGTTAAAATTTTTCTTTCTTGATTTTTTACAAAATCTACTTAGAATTATGCAAAATATGACTAAATAATTATAAATTTCAAGTTAAATTTTAATTTTGATAAATAATTTAAATTCAAAATAAGTTCAGTTCGACTATGTATGTAGTAATTCCTCAATAAAGTGCCAAAACCCTATTAAAATATATGAACATTTTCAACATTTTAATGTTTTTATTTAAAAATTTGATGGAATATGAGCTTCAAACAATTATTATGTAAATAAAAATAATTAAATATATGTATTTATTCGTATTACACCGTAGTAAGTCGATTCTTCCTTTCTTCTACTGAGTTTTGAATTTGATTTCGAATGTAAAGAGATTCAAAGGGAAAATACTAGCGGATAAAAAACCTCCATGAAAGGATCATAATGGAGTCAAGTTGTATTTTTTGATATTTTTTGCTTTTCGAGCCTAAATAGGTAGCCAAGATAATGCCTAAAAATAAGGTTCTAAATTCTGAAGTTTACATGATCCTCTCGTGTGCACCCTTAAACTTCAAGTTATCAATCTTACTAATTATTTGTCTTAAACACTTTTCCCTTTTTTCAGAGAAACTCATAGAATTAATTGTATGACTATTATCAAAAAATGAAAAGTAGGAATCCCTTTTGTATCGCAGGTTATATCAAAAATTCTGGCAAAAATATATATTAAAATGAAAGCCCCTTGAGCTATATTATTAGTTTATAAAGCTTAATTTGTTATTGATAAAGGTATTTTTTTTAACAAACGCCATACGTGATGCAAACCTCACGAGGATCTTCGTTTGAAGCAATGTAATCATATACTCTGGCTACTTTTTCTTCTGTGATAAGATGGCACATATCTTGGAACATTGGAACAAGTTTGCATATTTTTAAGAATAGATTGACATCTGGCTGTGCAAATTTGCTTGAATCTTCTTTAAACATATCAAGAATAACAGAAAACAAACTGATACATTCATCACAAATTAATTTTGATAGTGGTTCTGCTCTCGTTGAGCGAGGTTTGAGTTTTCTTGCTATTGAGCTTTGAACTTTAGTTAGTATGGTTAAGTGGTGTACTGTGGCACTGCGCGCCCCCGTACACCACCTAACCTTAAATATTTACAAAACCGGTAACGTATATTTTACAACACAAACGACAACACTAACTTAACCTTAAATATTTACAAAACCACCACCCACTTCACTTCACTAACAAACTCACTAATGTAAAAAAATAAACGTTCTCACTATCGTTCTCACTAACGACTTCACTAATGTTCTCATAAATTTTCCTCAATATCTTCATCATCAGTGTATAACCCTATTGTAGTCATACTTGAAGCCATAAACTTTCTTAACTTCTTAACGTACAATTTACATAACTTACCTTCGTCATCATATGGTTTAATGATATAAACTATTTCTATCTTTATACACAGTCAATGAAAAGTCAACTGTCTCGGATGTATTTGAAAGAACATGTTATGCTCAGGAAGGAAGAATAAATGTTTAAATGTATGTTGTTATATTTTTCGATTTGTATGATTGCTTTTGTTCTGTCATTTACATCCAAATAAAAAATTTTCAGTAAAATAAAAAATAAACTTAAAAATTAATGATATCACCACCTACACGTATGAAAACATAGCACAAAAATAAATTTAGGTGAAGTGGTGAGATCTCACCTCTTTTTTCACCCTGTTGAATTCATTGCTTTATATCTCTTCTTGGTTTCTTTTTAGTTGCTTTCTTCACGTCTGTCTCCAACTGTCTTTCTTCTTCGGCCGTAATGATACCAATTACTTCCACCAGTCAATGGGTTCAAATGGTCGTTCATAAGGTTTATACATTCCATAAGGTCCGTATGGATAAACCGCTGGTGAGAAGAAACATTTTCTTTAGTCCATCGACTCTATTTAAATGCATTGTTCACCTTTCATCTGGTCATTAAAGTCTTTTGCGTGTTTTGCAAACTCATCGTCCTTTCCTAAAGCATTTTCTGACTCAGTCGCAACCAAATTGATGCTTTATTTATGAGCCCTATTTTATTTAATCTTAACTTCTTTGCAACCCAGCCTCCAATCTTCCTTTATTTGCATCTAATGTCTTCGAAACCCTTCCTCCACTCATTTTATTTACTGCGTCATAAGCTCCAAGTGCTTTTGCTCCAAATGCTAATGCTTTTGTTCCCATTGCGCCTAAAGCTGCCAAGCTACCATTTACCATATTAAAATCATCTCTCTTCAATATATCTCATAAAAGTTCTCGTTACTGGAGAAGTCAATGAACATAAGCGTTCTCACGGGTTCGCCTCACCGCTTTGCGGTCTATCTAACTTATTTCTTATCTCATCTATACGCTTCAAAATGTCTGAACAATTGCTAACATCTTCTACAACAGTTATTTCATCATGAATGACCTCAAGAACAAGCTCATTTAATATGCTATTAAAATCATCTCAATAATGAGTCCATCCTTTCCATCTTTAGGTAGCACAACATCTTTCATTGAAGAAGGTTCGACAAGTCTTATGTTAAACTTACTGACAAAGTTTGTTATACTATAATGCTTCGGGGCGATACATGTAGTTGAAAGACATAATATAGATTCTTCAGCAAATTACTTATACTGGATTTTATAACAATGTTCACGAGACAAATACCAAATTGACAATCTTTGTACAATCCTGCTGAACCTTCTACTGTAAACGTCGATGGTAACATTCCACGAAGGTCATCTATTGACATAGTTGAGTCACTGTATTTAATATTTTCTTAAAGCAATCGTCATTATCTAACCATGCAATAGCTTTGAAGTTTTCATTCGAATATACATCTGCTTCATTAAATGTAAAACCTGACTTCTTTGCAGAGACGACTTTAAAATCTATTGAGTTTGTTTCAAAATTATATGCTATGCTAACTTCTGAAGGTAATGGATGCCCTTCCGCAGTCAGTTGTTCTCTCACTACCGTTTGAAGCTTTGTATTAAAAACTTTCATGTCATCTCCTGTATCTAAGTTCACATACACAGCAACAGGAAAACTATCTTGCTTCTTTGTTTCATCATTATACCTCAAAACATTAAAGTTCTTCAATAATATTGTTCTTCCTGCTGGAATACTTCTAACTTGTCTTATTTCAATAGCTTTCTCACCTCCTACATACTCTACCCAGTGTCTTGGATATTCATAAGTATACTGACTTTCTTGAATTTTGGTTGGTTTCATCATAACATGTTCATAGTATATCTTTATACTCTTGTCAGTTAGACTCGGTGCTATGTTCTGAATATTTCTGACTTGCATTTTTAATGGAGATAAAATGAAGCATTTAATACATGATAGATGAAGACATGAATGAAACTACAGACAAACTTAACTCTTCTCTCATTCTTCCTTTCAGTAAGGACTATGAGTTCTGTTCAAATGGTGTTTATTTCTATTGTGGAAAGATGGGTTCAGGTAAGACATTTAACCTCATTCGTCATATACTCATAACAGAGCGTTTAGGAAACGACTCTTACTATGACCAAATCATTATATCAGCAACTTCAGACTCTATGGATTCAACAGCGAAAACATTTATGTCAAAAGTTCAAGCCTCTGTCGTTAAAGTTCCAGACAGTGAACTCATTGAATTTCTTCAACGTTACATTCGACGTAAGAGAAAATATTATGCCATCGTTGAATTTATACAGTCAGGAATGCAAAAGACTTCTGAGGAGATGGAAAGAATTATTGACAAACACCACTTACGTCAATACTCAGGAGTTTACGATATGAAACGACTTACAAACTACATTCTGTCAAAACTTTCAAAATACCCCTTCAAAAAGTATCCTTCAAACACTCTGCTCGTTTGTGACGACTTCGCCGGAAAAGGTTTTGTGTCAAAACCAGACTCACCATTAGCTAACATCATTACTAAAGTCAGACATTACCACTTAACTGTAGCAATACTTATGCAAACATGGAGGTTTTTAGCTTTAAACATAAAACGTCATAACTGACTTCGTTATCTTTCAAGGTTTCTCACGCTATGACATTGAACTCATTTGGAAACAGTCAGGTATAACATTACCTTTTGAAGAAATTTGGGAAGCATATAAGTCTCTCATCTCTCCTCGTTCATACCTTGAGATTCATATCATGACTAATACCATTAAAGTCAAAAATATTCCATGGGAACGACCAACATTGTTTTAAAGTTTAACCTTCAATTGACTGATGGTAAACAAATTCCATGCATCTCTGTCGCCATTTCTGTTAATATTTTTGCTGTCATTCATATCATCCACTTCCCCATCCGTTAGCTTTTGAGGATATGCTTAGAATAGCTGTTCTTAAATGAAGGCTTTTCACCTTTGAGAGCATAAACTCTATAACTTTCTGCATACTTTATGTTTGAACCTCCTGAGCCATCATTGACATAAATTTTTATAGGCTCCACCCTTGTTCATGTTCCTGCTTCTTCCCTTAGCTTTTGTTCAGTAGTTCTACATCTTTATACACAGCACCTGTCTCAGTGAATTCAACAATATTTTCATTCGTTAGTTTACATTCAAACCCTTGTCAGTATATTGTTCATTTCATACATATAAAAGGTTTTTATTCTATATGAAATGAGAAGCAATCCATCTTAGCTGGTGCGTTAATGTTCCAATTGAACCAACATCAAATGTTGACTCAACGACAAACAATATTGTCATAAAGAACTATAGTCAGAGTGTTTGAAAGAACCAGACTTAAGTCAGTGAATTTAAAACTCAGCTTCAAACGCTAACGCTACATCAGATGTTAAGTTAGAGATCCACCACTGGATCAAATTCTTTCAAGAGAAGCCAACGACAATCCTTACACAAATGTTCAAACAAATCCTTCAGATAACGTAGACCATTACCTTCTTCAGTTATACCAAACAATTTTACTCAAAGACGATAAGAACTTTTGGTAAATCTTATAGTAAGAACCAAATAATTCTAACAAAGGAGGACCTGAAAATGTTATCTCACGAATAACAGGGAAACAATGTGTCATTGACTATCTCGACCCTGAAATCGAATGCTGCGGTCAAACTCCACTATTCATGAAAATAGGTAACATCCGCATCATTGAAACACCAGGAACTACAGGAGTTGAGTTTAAGTATAAATATTCGAATGAATATACAAAACTTTCAACAGAATATAAGCTTTGTTTGAAAATGTTTTAGTAAATTAAAGCAATTTGTAATATCTATCCAAAACTTCTTCAACAGTATCAAAACTCATCTTCATAATGCAAACCCAATCTTATTGACTTGGTGCAGTTTTCACTAACACAATATTTTTCTTTCTCTTGACTGACATAACTAACTCATTTGTTTCATCAAACAGCAACAACCAAAGTTCAGACCTAATACATAACATTCATACTTTATATTTTTAGCTCTGAGTTCTCTGTAAGCTGTTGCATTTAATATTTTCTAAAAAGTCAACTTCAACAGTCATTCGCACTGGTGCCTTCAGTTCTACAGGCTCTCCTTGAAAGTCAACAAGTCTGAATTGCATGTCTTTCAAATTATGAGGACTAATGCGAACCCATTTACCTAAATGAGTTGCTATGACAGGAACGTTGGAATGAACATTGAATTGACTGCATAACAGAAGGATTTAATTCTACTGAACCTTTACTATTAACTCCTGAAATGCCTGTGACATTAGCTATTTTAGACTCAATGTATAAACAATTGCCATAACATACGTATGGAACAGATTTCATCTCAATCGTTTTGTCAACACTTTTCAAAGGAAATGTCATATTATGCACCCAAAAGAAGTTGTACTCTATGACTCATTCGTGTTATCTTAAACTCCTTCGCATAACTGAACTTCAAAACTCCTGCAATAAGTTTAACATTCATTAAGTTTTCTTCGTTATCCTTGTTTATTTAGTATTTATGAGAGCATTTAACACTCCAGCTAATGTTTCCATCTTATATTCTACATTATTGTGAAATCTTATTTCGTGCTTCTTTCCATCTATTTCAATCTCCATGAAATCTGTTTCATCTGTTATAACGAATGAAGCGATAGTATTGAAGTCAACCATTCTGAATGCAAGCGCCTCATTCTGTAGACCTAAGTTTGTTTGTAGCTTTACTGTCCCGTATTCGTTTGGGTCTGTACTTTGCAAATAGAACAACATTTTATTCTCATTAAAATATGAGTATAGCTGCATATGCGTATGAAGCTGACAGAGCTAAACGTTTATATTTTGGTCAATACTCTCTCACACTTACTGACAAATATATTGTTATCACTGATGGAAATACTGAGAAATACATAACATGGAAGGACTATGAAAAGTTGACCCTATTTTAACTCCATGTACTATGCCGTTATATAAGGACGGTGAAATTATTGAAAAGATATATACAACCGTATATAGGTCTGTTTATGAAGCGTTAGAATATATGTTGAATCATAATCCGAAAGATTTGACCCAAGCACTACACCATGTGCAATGCCTTTTATTAAGGACGGTGAAATCGTAAGAGTTCCGGATTCAACGGTTTACACAGCTGTTCAAAACAGTTTACAAAACATTTTAGCGAATATCTTTAATTCAGAAACTACAGAAATAAAATTACCATATATAACAGATGCTAAAGAAATTAAATCAAAAACGACAACATTATTTACGTCACTTAATGATTAATGACTTATATCATTAATATTCCTGCACCAACTACAGCATTTGATCCAAACTCAACGGTTTGCAGTGTACCTTTCATAAAGTCGCAAAGCGACCAGGGCGAAGCCCATGACAGTTCATTAATTGCTTTAAGGGATTCAACAGTTAATGAATCATTAAAGGCGTCATTAATGAAAATCATTGATTTTAACTCATTCACGAATACATATAATTCATTCATTAATGTTTCATATGCTTCTAAAGAAGGTGAGCCAAAAACTATTGATAAAGCGGTGTATGAAATAAAAGTGTTGTAAACAGAAATTCATCAAAAGTGACACCTCAGAAAAGCTAAAATATTGAATTTTTGGAACTTTTGATAGAGCACGTTTTTAAATATTAATTAAAGTAAATGTATATTTTGTAAAGATTCTTTTTAATAAAAAAATAAAATTTTGAAGAAGAACACAAAATCTTCTGAAAAATAATATCACATAAACTCATATTATTTTCTAATATATAACTATTTTATATAAAAATCAAATTCAATGATCTTAAAAGCGAATGATAAACCTCAAAATTTACGAATATAATGAGTGGGAATATAATGCTTATCTATCATAAAACCATATGAAATATCAATTTTTGCTTTACGCCTAATTTTTGACGACAATTAGCAAAAAATTAAATGTTAACACTCAGTCCATTTGAATATGAAAAATAAAATTGACTTTGATTAAATGTTTTTATTTATCATGCAATTCTTCTTGCTAATTGTCGTCAAAAATTAGGCGTAAAGCAAAAATTAATATTTCATATGGTTTATGATAGATAAGCATTATATTTTCACTCATTATATTCGTAAATTTTGAGGTTTATCCTTCGCTTTTAAGATCATTGAATTTGATTTTTATATAAAATAGTTATATGTTAGAAAATAATATGAGTTTATGTGATATTATTTTTCAGAAGATTTCATTCTATATGCCTATGAAAAGTACTCTCAAAACTAACTTTTTCCTAATTATAATTAAATCTAGAATATTATATTATGCTTAGTATTATTTCATTTTTCTCATTCAATTTAGAATTTACAAATGTCAAAAAATTGAGAGCTGTCACTTTTGATGAATTTCTGTTTACAACAAAAGCATCAACGACGAAATTGAATTCGTTAACTTTCGACAGTGATAGTTTCGTTAACAGCATAACATCGGGGAAAACAATTTTAACGAAAGAATACTTAAAATCTCATGTTAGTGAGTTCGTTGAAATTGAAAAAGAAGGTGGAATTAAGTTCGATCCACTGAATTTCATTTTCAGCTTAGCGAATGCGGGTGTTAGTTCTGCGGAATGGACAACTATACAAAGTGAAATAAATGCAATATGGACGTTTTTGGGGTCAAAAGCGGGAATGAGTGAGCTTGTAAATGCTGCAAGAACATTAGGTGAAACAGGAAATTTTGTTGATGGTTTTAAAAGACTTGTTTCAAATGTTTTAACAAACACAAAGAAATTATTTAGATATACTGTACATAACAGACGGATTTTTGAACAGATAGCAACAAACCCTCCGGTTATGGCTGCGTTGATGATGGTTAGAGATATAAAACCACGTAACGACGGGAACGAAGAACATGAACAACAGGATACTGATCGGGTTATTCGAGACATTAAAAACGTGTATCCTGAAGTTATTGATTTATTTAGAGGAGTTAATGATTCAATTTCAAAACATTCTATAGCCCTCGATGAAGAGAATAAATTAACAGATTATATATTCGTCATTATTGCAGAATTAATGAAGAGAATAAATGAAAAAGGAATTGGTGATATCATTAATGTCAGCGATGTAATGATGAAAAGAAATTTTGACTCATTATTTACAAAACCGAAAACAGAATATAGTCTTTATGACGTAATTACTGAATTAATAAAAAAGATTAATGATAATAAGAGTTCTGGCGGAAGAGTTGAATTAGAAGTGAATGATGTTAATGAGAAATTAGCCGAAAAAGCAGACAAAAATGAGCTTCTAGCTCTGAGTGATAAAGTCAAGAACCATGTTCATTATATAACTTCAGACGAACAGATTATAACGGACTACCATGGATATTTAACACGAAGTGATGAAGCGAAGACAAAAAATGTTAATGAAAGAAGATATAAATACATTCGTGCTAAAGGTTATGACATAAGCTGTACTGTACAGTATGATGTAGCTAAAGCACAAGAAGCATTTGGTTATAACGATGAAATATATGCCTCTACTTTCTCTGTTAAAGGTGTATTAGTTGAACCAAGATTTACTTTGAGAGTTAAGGCAAAAATAACTGTTGAAGATGCTATTAAAAGTAAAGCTGACAAAGTTGAACTCGAAGCAATGAACAAAGTTTTGAAATCTCATAAACACAACATCTCCGATATAAATGAACTTCAAGCTACATTAGACAGTAAAGCTGACAAAGAACATACACATGAATCCTTCACTACTGTTAGAGCAGACGACATAATATTGAACTATACCCTCGGTTCAAGTGCACCTTTAGAGAATCCAAGTACAAGCGTAAAAGATACACTAAACAATTTAGATAACAGATGTATGAACATTGAAGGTCATGTCAGAAACTTTGAAGCATACACACTACCAACAATGTTAAACAAGAAAGCCAACAAGAACCATACACATGAAGAATTTCAAACAATCAAGATTAAAGAAATTAAGGCATGCATCGAAATAGTAACAAAAACGGGAAGAAACGGTGCAACTGTACATGAACAAAGAATTTATCCTCCTACTTTTCCTAATGGTTTAATAACAAACAATATAAATATTGTAGATGGCAAAGGATTTATAAATGTTAAACATGAGCTTCAAACAATGAAGGCTCAGATTCTTCAAACCATATATCCTATAGGCTCTATTTATACGTCAATGAATTCAACAAATCCAGCAACAGTTTTAGGTTTTGGTACGTGGCAGCAGATTGTAGACAAATTCTTATACTGTGCTAACTCTTCAAAGCAAACAGGAGGTTCGAAGAAAATTAAAGAAGCAAACTTACCTGCGCACACTCATACAGGAACTACAAACACAACAGGTAATCATTCACATTCAATAACAAAAAGAGGTTATACAAATCTTGCAGCAGGTTCGGATAGACAGGGAATGCATAGATATGATATTTCAAGTGACCCAGTAGATTCAAGCGCAGGTATTTTCTGTGGAACCGCAGGAAATCATTCACACACTTTCACAACAAATCCAACAGGCTCGGGTGCAGATTATATGCCACCATTTGTGACTGTATTCGCATGGTACCGCGTTCAATGAACGCGCTTGAGCCTAGAATAAAATCTTTAACTTTACATAAATGAGCTTGAAAGAAGTATTCGAACAACATCCATGGAGGTCATTTAAGAAGTTCAATGAAGCTGCAAAGAGTTGGGGATTTACTAACAGAGCTGAAGTGAAAAGGTTCTTTGACAAAAATGTTGTACATCAAACAAAAATAAACCCTTACGACTACTTTTTACCAATTTACTCCAACACTCCTGACGCATACCAATTTGACACTCTCATTCAAAGCAGAAAAGGAGGACATAAACCATTCCTCATCTTCATTAATGTTAACACTCGTAAAGCTTTTGCGTATATAATGAAAAATAAAGGAACTCATGAAGTGTTAAGAATTTTACAAAAGTTTGTAGCAGAACATAGCCCAAGTACTTTAACATCAGACCAAGACAGTGCATACCTCAGCAATGAAATCACAGATTTTCTCATTAAGCATAACATAACTCACTACACTACTGAAGACCATAACCATAACATACTCGGCATCATAAACCGCTTCATAAGAACGCTCAGAGATTTAAACCAAGAGCGAGACTTTACCGAAGAAACAATGAAACATTTTCTCGAAGTATATAATTCCTCAACACATTCTACAACAGGACATACACCAAATTCAATGACACAACAACAAGAAGAAAAGTATATACAAAAAAAAAAAAACGAAGCCAAACACAAAATATCAGAAATTCAACACAATTTACCCTCATTCCTGGTACAAAAGTTCGTGGGGCGCGTAAAGGGTTGGCGTCCTAAGGCGTCCTGATGTAAACTATTCAATTTTTGAGAAGTTTACACCATAATTGAATAGTTTATGGCGTCCTGAGAGGAGATTTCAATGGGTATGGCGTCCTAAAAAATAGAAGAAAATGATTTTTTCTCGATTTTTCTAGAAATTGAATTTTTTAAAAAAGAAAAAAATCAAAACGTATACATTCAAGAAAGACTATAAATGAAGATTTTTCTATTTTTTTTTTCATTCTAAAACATCTTTTTTTGGATAATAAAGGTGACCAAACTATTTTTTGAAAGTCCGCCATAACTTTAATGGTACTATTTCAGCGTGTACAATGAATACAAAAATTCTAAGAGTGCCACATAAAATAGTACTTTAGACTTAAGTTAATGCTACCAAGCAAATGTTAAAAAGATGACTTTAGTGTTTTGATAATCAAAGATTAAAATCATTATTGTCTAAATCAATAATCATAACGACAGAAGTTAATGTTTTTTCATAAGTGCTTTAAATCCACTTTTAAAAGTATACCTCAAAAATCAAAATATCAAAAAAAAATTGGCCGATAGGTTTGGCTTTAATTTTTGTCTGCTTTTATGATTTGATATGGATGTTATAATTTTAAAAGTTGAGCCAAATTCACCAATAGATTTTTGAGATTTGCAAATACTCAATAATTTTCAGCGTGTTATCTTTTATTAAAAGAACTATTTGGTTTCAGTATCATATAAATTGATATTTACTTTCTATTTGAACCTTCATTTAGCTAATGATTTAGTAATACAGATTTCATCTAATCCTTATAAGAGAATTTTGAATTTGTTATAATAAAAAAACAAACAGATATAGCTTACACTTCTATAATAAAGATACCTTTTATAGAAATCAGTATGAAATGTGTTTTTTGACACGTAAAGCTCTCAATTCATTATAACATGTTTGTCGATTTTATATATTTTTCGCTTTCATTATCTATGATATTAAAAATTATGTCATCAGAATGTGAAATAATTAAACAAATGCCCTACGGGAAGTATTTTAAAAATTGATTGTAATTATAGTTAGATTAACCATCATCACTTGCAAACCGAACTAATTTACTACTTCTCCAATTAACACTCATGAACAATGTTTTTTAAAAAAAATATAATTTTTTATTCTAAAATTTACATTAACATGTCATTTATTATGATCTCATAAAACATATCCATATATTATAGTTACAGTAATATTAAAATTTCAAATTTTTGAATTAATTTGGTTATATTATGACCATTAAGCCAAGATCCCAACTTCTCTATGCTATCTATGAATTTCAACTCTATATGTAACTAACACGTTATAAGTTTTGTTTATAAATATAGGTGCATTTCAGTAAATTACTCTTTTATAATAGTTCTTTTATTACAGCTATAAAATCTATACTAAATCTATATTTTTTATACTAAATTTATTAATTGTAATACTAATTTTAATTGTTGCTGATCATATGCTAAATTTTATATGAAATTCTTAATTAGAAACTTGAGTTGAATATATATTAATATGAAAAATCGGTGTTTAAAACAAAAATACAGCTTGATTTATATAGTAATTTATAACTTTACATATTTTATATAAATTTTTATTGAATTCAAATATTCAATAATTTTTTTATGCTAGATTAGTTGTATTTATTTAAATATATTATATTGGCAACCTTTCTTTACCCTGTCCTAATAAACGCATTTTGTAAAAAATATAGTGCATCAGTTTCGAACTAGCGTCCCCGGTACCTAATAGTAAGGGGTAATAACCATTCGACCATTTGCCACGTAAAGCATCGCCAGATTTTTTTGTATTTAATCACTCCAAAAACACTGTTTTGGCTTATTGGAAGCATATCAGACATAATCGCCATAATCAAAAAATCTATATACCCAATAAGTAATAAATTTGTCGATATAGATTTTCCATAAAATTAGTTTTTAGTCTGATCTTAAAATAAATTTAATTTTTTATAAAAAAAAATCACATTTAAAAGTACCTTTTTAGTAGCTCGAAATCCTGTTGGTGGATTTCGGGCGTACTTCAAAATTAGCTTTTCTTCTACATATGCAAGCTATATTTTAAATATGGGGCAAATCGGATCGGCGAAAGGAGTTTAGTTACCTTTTGGATAATTTTTTTTAATAAATATGTAAGAAAGATTGAAGAAAAAGTAAATTTACTTTAAGAAAATTCGTTTTACATGATGTAAGACCCATAACAACTATAAATATTCAATTATTTAAAATAAAAAAAGAAAAACAGATTAAATGTATCTCACATCAAAATCCATTGACCTAAGGATGTTAAGTTTCTGTTTTTAAAAGTTGATATTTTTTTTTAATTTTAAGAAAATTAATAGCATGTTATTAGACAATAGGAGTGTAATGATATTGACTAAACAGAAATGAGAGAATAGAGATATAATTTTGATAAGCAATATTGCGAACAAATTCTGAAGTAAAATCGCGATCAATAATTGAAAATTACGATCATGTACTGAAAAATGACGATCGAATTGAATGAATAGAATTATATCTAAGAAAAAATAAATTGTATTTAGAAGATGAACAAAGAAAGGTGTATGCTAAAAATCATTTAACAATAAATGGAAATAAAACGAAATTGTTAAAAGAAAAAAATGAAAATTGTTAAATAATATATTATTTTTTAGTCATAAGAATAAAAATATAGTAGTTATAAAAGGAATTAGACTTCATATATCAATTCTTTTTCTCTGTAGATGTGGAACGTTTGCTTTTCGATCTCTTTCGATGAACTTGAAAATATAAGTTATTATCGCTGAGAATCCTTTCCGAAATAGGAGCTTTACGTTTAGGAGGATTGTCGGATGAATTTTGTTTTTTATTGTTTGATTTTGTTGTTATGGAAGATTTTTTTTATTTTTTTCAGAATTTTGCTTGCTATTAACTGAAACTTGTTTTGACGGCCCAACAATAGCATTTGTAGTAGGAAGAATTCCCAATAACGAGCGCATTTTCGATAATTGTTTTTCAATATGATCAAGAAGGTCCAGCTTATGTTCTAGATTACTAGACATTTGATTTGTAGAAGGATGGTTTTGATTTTCTGGTTCTAAATCTGTAGAGTCTGCAATATTTGAATTTTCGGAGCGAATTGGAGCATCTGAACCTTGATTTGTATCGGCTTGCTCAAAATTAGTTTGAATTGGAGTGGATGAATTAAAATCTGGATGATTTAATGTTTCATTAAATAATGCCATAATTTTTTCTCTTTTTTCATTAATAAACTTAGTGATCATTGTATCTTTATCTGTTAGATCGATCGATTTGAGTATATCTGCATCATGAACTGGAATATTTTCGAACAATGAACTCGATTCTATGGAACCATATGGAGAAATCTCGTTCTGAGCCAAAGAAAGATCACTTACGTTGTATTGTTTGATAGAAAAAATTGTTTTCTCAAGTTCTTTTTGAAAGCAGTCAAGAATATAATTTTTGTAGCTATCAGTGATAACGGTTTTTATATGGCGCTCGATCTTCTGGTTATTTTTGATGGCGTTATATTTATCTAATTGGATTTGAGATATCTTCTTAATAGCTTCATAAATGTTTGGATGTTTTAACGAAGAAAATTCTGAATGCATACTCTCGAGGCAATCATTAGTGAATATTGCAGTTGCATTATTATATTGAGATATTAAATTGTAGTGCGGCAACCAAACTTTGTTGAAATAATCAATATAATCTTTGATCGAATCAACTTTATTTTGATTAATTATATGCATTGTAAGTACAAATTCTTCATGAGACATGAATGGAGTAATAGAATATAGCTTAAATAAAGAATTTTGTAAAGTATTGAAATTTTTTGTATAAAGTGCTACAAGTTTCCTGTGTAAAGCTTGTTTGAAATGAAATAGGCATCCAATTATACGGACTTTAGGGAAAATTTGTTGAAGTGCCTCTATCATTCCCTTTTCAAAATCACAATGAATTTGAATTAGCTTTGAAAATTGAATACCCTTGACAGTAAAAATATATTCAAATGCCTTCTTATAAGATTCAAATGTGCGGTTTTTCATGAATATAAATAAAAGTGGTAGATATTGATTTGTTGAAGGTTCACAAATCATAATTGTTAGCATCTGTCCTTTTTGAAAATGTTTTGGTGTAATTTTAAAAGTTCCATCGCAAAATAAATCTGTGGCTTCTTTTGCAAATTGAATTGC